TGATCGATTGTGCAGGCAGTATTCACCGAGATTCAGTTCGCTGTGATCAGTTTGAGATTATCTCACCGAAATCAGTCTATTATTTGACATGACCAAAATGATTAATTCGCACTACTATTGGACATATTGCGGCTCATTCTTCAATAACGGAGAACCACATTGCATGGTCACGTGTTGACCGCCTCCTCGAGTGACCACTTCTGAGGAGTAAGTTTCGCAATTCAATGAAATTGTCTTTACTCTGACAAGTTAGTGAGGCAAATCGAAACTGAAAATCCAAAAATCACCGTATAGCAGATTCATGCTATTTGGGAATCGACAACTAGTCTCATTTACCCACGAATTCGGTTTCGACGGGAGCCTCAAGAAGAGCAAAACCTCTCATGGGCTGTCTAAGAGTTTTCAGCAATTTTCCAGTAATGCATGACGCCTAAACGACAGCGTATTGCGTAACTAAATTTCACACCAACTGAAATACTAAGCAGGATTGTGCACCACATTCCTTTGAGGCGGACCATCACAAACAGGCAATTCAACTGGATTCATCTGAGTCCCCTGTCAAAACCGAATTCATGTGTAAATGGGCGAAGTTCTCAAAATCTGTCAAAGTTGGGTTCAAGTAGAATGTGGGGTAGATGGAAGCTTGGGAATCGATACTGAAAAATGGCGAAACCGATGGTGAGCTGTTGAAGGATTTCCAGCAAACTTATGAGAAGTGGGACTTCCAGAATGACCAAAGTCGTCACTCACGCCCTCAGGGCCTAGCTACTTACCCGTTATACATCAAACACGATTTCGTTAGTTTGAAGGTTGTGAACATCTAGCTCATTGATTTCGGAGGACTCAACCATCTACTTGCCTGTATCCAGTGGCATGTATACAGAAAATCTGCAATAGCCAGTTTGCAATTTATGTAGCAGTGAATATAGGGAAGCCCTTAGCCTCGCAGATGCTCATAAGGAAACACCAAATACAATTTTGCAGACAATGGGACAGGAAACTAAAATCCTTTACTGCACATAGTTTCTTCTTCTCCTTCATAAACGCTTCGCAGTTGCACACAGACAGTATAATCTGTTGCCGCACGCTAGTTTTCTGGGAAACTACATTTTCAGACAGAATATTTCGGTAGGCATATTTGAAGGGTATATTTTTGTTACACGACATATTGAGAGTCGAATCGTCAGTACTTTAATATTTGGCACACTTTGTACGAAGGTATATCTTAGACGACCTCGACGTTATCTCTTTTTGCACCATCTGGTCTGCTTTTCTGCATTAACCAGGTTCATCAACAGATCTAATAAGAAATTAAACAGCAAAATTGATAAAAGCTTTTCTAATGCTAAGCTGACTAAATATAATGCTTCCGATTGCCCGTGGATTTGTTTGGATAGAGGAGGAAAGAGAGATTTTTATAGAATAGGTGATCAAATGTGATAAACGCATCTGCACAATAAACAAACTTTACTACCCGGAAGAGCAGTCACGAATACAAACCCCGAAATTCAGGTTACAGCACAACAGGCATTCAGAACGAACAAATCGGAAGTAACTACTTTCATCAGAAGTCCATTGAAACCGATTGAAATATGGGGAGAGAGACAATGGCACAACGGATTTCGATAACCGGTCAATCATTCCGTGTATAAATGGTCCGCTGTCGGAATCTACTCAAAGGATCAATCGCACTCAGGGGATGCAACCCACTTCCCTGCACAGCTCAAATGTTGTGCCGGAGAAATGTTTGCTCAATCACAGCCGCATAATATCAGGCGTTTATGGAGGAAATTCCGACCTTATAATTCGCTCATGATGTCACTTCGGTTGTTGTTGAAACATCCTCAAGGACAAAGAACAGATGAACAGTATCTTGATCAACGAACACCAAGTGGAAAAGTTCCAGATCAGTTTTCGATAAAACCATATGGCTTATTGGACATTCGTGTTCAAATATTGGATCGCCTCAACTTCGTTATATTTTCCTCAGTAGTGTTTATATTGTGTAGATATTTAATTAAACAGATGTAGTCATGCTATCAAGGCCGTGTTCCCAAAAGAACGGTGTGACTGTACCAAACGCATGATGATAAAACTAGCTAAAGTGGAAAACTGCTTCCAACCGCCTTCACGCCTTGAAAAACATAGGAGCTACTATATCCTAAAATATTTAACCAATAGACTTCCAGAGAATCGATTTTTCATCCCCATATTCTTGTGGCAACGCAAATAGCAGCAGTCAACGTCGCTACTGATTATATCTGGTAGCTACTGACCTGGGCGTTCGCTCACTGCTCAATCATTCGTGTTAAGTGCTCAATGAATTATTCTCCTTGTGCG